AGAAGCCTGGATACAACTCAATCCTTCTCTAGAACAAGAAATATCGAGACTGAGAAACCGTCCGCTTCTTTCGGGTGTTCCTCCATGAGAAGTAGGGGGACCAGCGTAGTTTTCATAACGAACGGACCCAATGCCAAGATATCGAGCTCCGTAATTTGATCACCAAACGGTAACCATATCTGATCCATCAAAATTTTGAGAGTGCAGAGGTTCTGCATAACAGGTTTCGGGAAAACCTAAGCGAGAGTCAAATATTTCATAACTACATAGCATCAAGGTCTGAGTATATTTAACAATCAGTTGAGGGCTGGGTAACCATAGAGACCAAAACTTTGCTGCGTGAAAGATCATACTTTGGTGGCGCTTATCAGCAAGCGTGTAAAAACAAAATGGCGCGTGGGTGGACTTTTGGAATTAAAGAACATGGTGCCAACCCTTGAATTACTTCATGTTTTGATGAGTGAGAAAAGGTATGGAAATATTAGGGTTATAATCGAGGGTATCCTGGAGAATATAACTATTTTACATGAGAACGAGTCGGCCTCTCGCGAGGGGGAGACATTATTTTCCATAAACTAGGTTAGACAAGGCTGGTGATTACGCGGGCAATAGACAGTGTCTTGGACAAAACGATTTTAAACAACCTAAGTAATTCCAGAAATACACTCATTTGCAAATCAATTTAGTTTTTACGAGAGACTCAACTGAATCTCTCGTTTGTGATATTCTATAACTGAATGTGCTGCACACAAGCCGCCTCATGATTCATTTGGCACGATATTCGAGATATCGCAGTATATTTTTCATAAAGGAAACTACTCACAAGGCTGCTGAAAACTCTTCGACAGCCCACGACCGGTTTCACCCTTCTTGGGGCTCATCAGGTAGGCGCAGTCCCCGAGTTTCCATCAACCTTATATATCATAAACGAGAGATTCAGTTGAATCTCTTATGAAAACCAAATTGATTTGCAAATGAGTGTATTTCTCGAAAACAGTCCAA